GTTCCAGAATAATCATACTTCACAATGTTATCCATAGCTTGTCATGATCCACACAATCGAAAGCTTTGTATAGTCAATAAAGCACAGGTAAACATCTTTCTGATATTCTCTGCTTTCAGCCAAGATCCACCGGACATCAGAAATGACATCCCTCGTTCCACAACCTCTTCTGAGTCTGGCTTGAACCTCTGGAAGTTCTTTACCAATGTATGCTTGCAGCCGTTTCTCTATTACCTTTAGTAAAACTTTACTCACATGGGATATCAAAGAGATTGCCCGATGATTTCAGCATTCTGTTGGGTCACCTCTCTTTGGAAAGAGCACAAATACGGATCTCTTCCAATCAGTCAGCCAGATAGTCGTCTTCCAAATTTCTTGGCAGAGATGAGTGAGTGCCTCCTGTGCCGCCTCCCTTCTTGAAAGATTTCAATGTTTAATTTAGTGCCTTGTTCTTTGCCAATTCCTTCAATGCACCTTGGACTTCTTCCTTCAGTATCATTGGCTCTTGATCATATGCTACCTCTTGAAATGGTGAACGTCAACTATTTCTTTTTAGTATAGGGATTCTATGCATTCCTTCAATCTTCTTTTGATGCTTTCTGCATCATTCAGTAATTTGCCCAGATAATCCTTAAATAACTAAACCGAGGCTTGATTTTTTTCTTCAGATCCCCTAGCTTGAGAAATGCCGAGTGTGTTCTTACTTTCTAGTTTTCTGACTCCAGATCTTTGCACATTTTGTTGCAATATTTGGCTTTATCTTTTAGAGCTGATCTTTGAACTTTTCTGTTTAGCTCTTGTACCTCCTCATTTCTTCCATTTGCCTTAGCATCTCTACGCTGGAGAGCAAGTTTTCAGTGACATCCATTTTGATCTTTTCCTTCTTTCTTATCTTCTTAATGACTTTTGGCTTTCTTCCTGTACAATGTTTTTGTTGTCATCCCACAACTCTTCTGGTTTTTGGTCTTTAGTGTTTAATGTATCAAATCTGTTCTTCAGATGATCTCTGTTGGGATATATTCAAAGTCTTATTTTGGCTCCAGTGGACTTGTTTTCATTTTCTTCAGCTTTAATTTGAATTTGCATACGAGCAATTGATGGTCTGTTCCACAATCTCCTCCTGGCCTTGTTTTGACTGATGATGTGGAGCTTTTCCATGGTTTCTTTCCACAGATGCAATCAATTTGATTTCTATGTATTCCATCTGGTCAGTTTCATGTGTATAATTCTCTCTTATGCTGTCTAAAGAAGGTATTTGAAATGAACAATGAAATGAACATCGATTTTGCAGAATTCTATCATGCAATATCCAGCATCATTTCTATGTTGTTGTTTAGTGCCACCGAATCAGTTCCAACCCACAGCGACCCTTTATAGGGTTTCTGAGGAGCAGCTGATGAGCTTGAACCGCTGACCTTGTGGTTCAAACCAACTTTGCAGTCCAGCGCATTAACCCACAGCACCTAGACCTCACCAAATATAATAAACAGGACTCAAAATCACTACATTGATGGAAAGACATATGGAGAAGCTCAACAGCACCAGCTAAACCAAGTCCAGAGGCCAACTGTCAATTACTTACATTCAAAACTGAAATTAAAGCTGAAAAAAATCAAAACAAATCCATGGAAGCCAAAATATGACCTTGAGTATATCCCACCTGAATTTAGAAACAATCTCAAGAACAGATTTAATGTATTAGACATCAATGACCAAAGAGCAATAAGAATTACTGAATGACATCAAGAACATCACATAAGAAAGTAAAACGCCATTAAAAAGACAGGAAAGGAAGAAAACACCAAAACGGGTATTAGAAGAGACTGTGAAACTTGCTCTTGCACATGTCGTTGTTATGTGGTGTTGAGTTGGGTTCCAACTCACAGCAACCCAGTATAAGGCTTCCAAGGAGCAGCTGGTGAGTCTGAACCACTGACCTCCTGGTTCAAACCGACCTTTCAATCCAGTGTTTTATCCCACAATGCCACACATAGAGAAGATAAAGTGAATGAAAGAAATGATGAAGCAAAAGATCTGAACAGAAAGTTTCAAAGAGCAAAGACCAAGAGTTAGAAGACTGAAAGGGAAGAATACACTCAGCATTTCTGAATCTGAAAGAACTGAGGGAAAAAACTCAAGCCTTGGGTTGCAATACTGAAGGATTCTACAGGCAAAATATTGACTGACACAAGAAGTATCAGAAGAAGGAAAAAGAAGTATCAAAAAGATGGAAGGATTACACAGTCACTGTACTACAAAGAATTGGTCAATGGTCAACCATTTCAAGAACATATGATCACAAACCGATGGTGCTGAAGGAAAATGTCCAAGCTGCACGGAAGGCACTGGTGAAAAACAAGGCTCCAGGAATTCATGGAATACAAGTTGAAATCTTTCAACAATCTGATGCAGCCCTGAAGATGTGCACTAACCTATGCCAACATATTTGGAAAACAGCTACCTGGCCAAATGATTTTAAGAGATCCAGATTTTAGCCCATTCCAAAGAAAGGTGACCCAACAGACATTTGGAAATATTTGAACAATGCCATTAATAGCACATACAAGTAAAATTTTGCTGAAGATAATTTAAAAACAGCTGCAGCAGTATATTGACAAGGAACTACCAGAAATTCAAGCTGGATTCATACAAGGATGTGGATTTAGAGATATAATTGCTGATGTCAGATGGATATTGGCTAACAGCAAAGAGTACCAACAGAATGTTTACTTGGGCTTTATTGACTAGGCAAAGGCATGTGACTGTGGATAAGAACAAACTCTGGATTCACATTTCGAAGAATGGATATTCCAGAACACTTCACTGTGCTGAGAAACCCTATTATACACCAAGAAGCAGTCATTCAAACAATGGGCTCAAACATGATTAGTAATTGTGAGGTTGGTGCAGAACCAGGCAGTGTTTCATTCTGTTGTGCAAAGGGTTTCTATGAGTCAGAATAGACTCAATGGCACCTAACAACAACAAGGCTAAGCTATCAGCTTTTTTATTAGACAGTCATTAATATATAAATAATTGACATCTAAGTATACAGACTGACGAGTCCTAGTGGCACAGTGGTTGAGCACTTGACTGTGAAATGAAAGAGCAGTGGTTCACACCCACCAGCTGCTCTGTAGGAGAAAGACAAGGCAGTCGGCTTCTGTAAACATTTAGTCTTGGAAACCTTATGCGTGGTTGGTTCTACTCTGTCCCTGGGAGTCACTGTGAGTTGGGATTGACTCAATGGCAGTGGACTTGGTAACAGGTTAGTAAAGCAGATGTCTATTATTAACTGGGAGCTTGCCATTACTAAGTATCACTAATAGGTAAAGATGAACATAGGTAACTAAGAAGTAAAGGTAAACAGAACTTCAGAACTTCAAAGTAATCACACTGAATCTTAGAATTTGGCCAAATTCACACCTTCAGGATAGAACGTGACCAATAAAGAGATTGTAAAAAAAATGAAACTATCCCAAATTGTAGAAGACCAAGATGACAGTGTGATTCTTTAATATCAAGCAGTACATTTTCCCATCAGGACACCTGTCAATCCCCTTACACTTAGCTCCAGGGGACAGATGTATGACTAATAAAGATGTAGAAGTTTTGAAGCCTTGTTAACCTGTAGAAAATGAACAAAGCAGGATTTCACTTTCTGTCTTTCTGTCTGGTAGAGGAGGTGATCTCAAAGCCTAACTTTGCAGCCTTCCACTCTCCTCCTCCCTCAATCCCAGCCCATCGAATCCTTTCTGGAACGCTCTTGTTATTCTGCTGGTCGTGAGAAATGTGTTTTGCACAACCTGAGAATTGCATACTCACCTCAACCCTGCATCTTCATAATGTGGATGATTCACAACAGGCCGGAGAGCCGAGAGTTTCACACTTGCCATCGTGGGCATGGCTCCTGCAAACACGGCATCTGCAAGACAAGAAGGAAGTTCTCAGGCAAACACTCAGCAGAGTTCCAGGAGTCTCTCTGTCCAGTTCAACTCAACTACTTCACAGGTGAAGAAGCTGAGGCCCAGAGAGGTCACTGCCTCATAGACTCACTGGCAGAACTACAGTGAAATTAACCAAAACAAACTCCCCTGCTCTTGAGTCAATTTTAACTCACAGCAACTCTATAAACCTGTGGTCTTGATGCTTCCCAAGGATGTAAATCTTTTCCAAAGCTCATTGCCACATCTTTCTCCCATCAAGTGGCTGGTGGGTTTGAACCATTGACCTTTAGGTTAACAGAAAAGTGCTTTAAACACTACACAATCGGGGCCACTTGTTGTTCAGTGATGTTGAGTCGGTTTTGACTCACAGCAGCCCTACATAGATAGGGTTTCCAAGGAGCAGCAGATGGATTTGAACCACCAACCTAGTGGTTTATCAGTCCAGTGCTGATCCTACAGGGCCACACCAGGATGCCAATCAGAGCCCCTTAGTATGAAGTTAATGTGGTGGTTAGCAAACAAGCCTGAGTAAAGCATTTTTCTTGAAAAGAACAGAGCCTCGTCATTAAAGATTACTTCTCTTTCTTTCATTTAAAAAAGATGTTTTAGACACCTTGCCTGATTCTAGGAAAGAGAAAAATTTTTTAGCTCCAAACAATTCTGGAAATGATCTGGCATCCAATCCATGTGATGAAAGGTTAAATGAATGACAAGGTCTCCTGATACATTCTATGTTACATTCCATGAGTTCATTGCAACAAGGAATGTGAATGGCATTAAATTAAAAATGCATTTAGAAAAAAAGCACAAAAATGTGACTTTGAAACATGTTATGTTTTGTTTGTTAAATGCCGTCGAGTCAATTCTGACTCAGGGACACTGCACAGGGTGTTTCCGAGGAGCAGCTGGTGAGCACGAACTGCAGATCTTCTGGTTCACAGTCCTGTGCTTATCTTACAGTGCCAGCCACACCAGGAGTCCACCCTTAAATACAGCACATATAAATTTGGATGAATTTTGAAAAACTTGTAATTTATGGAAAATAGCTGCGTAAGTTACTAAGAAAATACATGTAGCATTTTCTCTGTAAACCAATTAAGTAAGTTTGATAACTTACTTTTCAGAAGCAGCACCATTTCAGAAGCTAAAAGCAACCCGGGTTTAGGTTTTTAATGGTATAGACATGAGGTCGTGGGACAATGGAATGAAAAGATAATGGAATTTATCTACAAACTTTCTGAAGCCCACTCGTAAACTTATGTGGATAACACTAGTTACGTAAATAACATTTTTACCTGGTTTAGTACTGTATTTGATCCATTCTATAAGTTCTTCTTGTGGCAAATTACTGAACTCCCCGACGATATTCCACTGGGTTTGTAGATTTGCTGACCCTTGTATTGACATTGCTGCTAATACAGCAAAAACAACAGCCCCAGGATGTACTTTGCAAAAGAGCCATCCAAATAACTGAAACCAAAAGAAGAGTGCATTGGAAACTGGTTGGATAAAATAGCACGTACCCAATGAGCTGCCAAACCCTCTCCCTAGAGCAGAACAGGGTCTCTGCTATCTTCCCTGATAGGGAATTAATTATCCGAAGAAAATTGTTCAGAAACAATGACCCCAGGAATCAAAGAATTCTATCATCTGTCATAACAGAGGTGAGACATAATTTAGGAAGCTTTTTTCGCAACCTCGGAGTCCTGGTGTGGTGCTGCTGGCTAATGTACTGGACTGTAAGGTCGGTTTGAGTCGCATGGTTGGTGGTTCAAGTTCACCAGCCGCTGCTCGGAAACCCTACACAGGGTCACTATGAGCCAGAACCAACTCGACGGCATTTAACAACAACTTCTCAACCTGCTTCTCCCCATCCTACACACAAGACAGATTATCTACATAATTTGAGGTGTGTAATGCAAAACAAAAACGTGGGGCCCCTAGCTGATAAATCATTAAGAGTTTTAAAGATGGAGAGATTTACATTACAGCATTATCCACAGTGTAGAACCCTTCTGCGTGCTGGGCCTGGTGTGACTGCCAAGATGCATGCTGAGGAAAACCGTCTCTGGGTGAGGTTCTCTATCTAATCAGCCATGCTGGGGGTGAGTTTAAGATGAGAGGCTTCCAGTCAGTCTCTTGTCCTGGCCTAGCTGGGAGTTAGGAACAACAGGCCCACCCAACTCAGCTTTCGCAGTCAAGGCTCCCAATCATAAAACCAATATTCTGATTGAGAACACCGCAGTTGGCTTTTTCCATATTCAAGTGGTACACACTCAGTAACAATGCCGCTCCCCCTATTTTTCTCCCCATAATGCCTTTTTTTTTATATGTGTGCAGAGCTAGGCTTAAGCTCTTTGAAGACCTAAAACCTTAGGTGATTTAAAAAAATTTTTTTTCTATACACTTCTCTACTCTCATCTATTTTCTAAATTTAAAAGAAGTACTGCGGTTGTACTTTGGCTGTTAGCTGATGAGAAGGTGACTTTATGGAGATGCATAAATCTGAGTACAGACAAAGCAAGGGGGCACTTATCCAGGAAAAACAGGCAGCAAATAACCAAAAATGGCTTTAAGTAAATTTGTAAAAGAAAGCAAAAGTCAAGATTATGCACCCAAATGTACATTCAAATAAATGAAACACATTTTTAAAAAAGGGCTCGATACTGAAAAAGAGCAGTTAATTTGAAAGGTCTTGTAACTTGAAATCGACTGTTAGGATTTTCTGCAATGTTTATGTCAAAACAAAACAAAAAACTTCTCCAATTAAGCACTTCTCCACTCCGCACTAGGAGCTTAGTGGCACAGTGGGTTAAGAGTTGGGACTGCTAACTGCAAGGGTGGCAGTTCAAGCTCACTAGCCACTCCATGGGAGACAAATAAGGCTGTCTGTTCCTGTAAAGATTTACAACTTTGGAAACCATAAGAAGTAATTCTATCCTGTCCTTGTGAATCAGAATCACCTTCAAGGGGTCTGTGGGTTTTCTATCAGACAGGCAGCAGTGACTCAGGAACCCAGCCCGCATGGATTTGGTGTCTGTTGTATGCCAAAGACTAGTGATCAGATTTGGTCTGTGCCCTTTACAAGAGACTACTTCAAATCCATGACGAATTTATTTACAATTACCTATAGGGACTTCAGCAACTTTGGAAGAGTTTTATCTGAGGCCCACTTAATAATAAAGACTGGAGTCAAATTATCATAGGAGTTATAACTCTGAAGCAACCAACGTCTTTTACCTGTCTTGAGCAGATCAAGGAAGCCATCACACACATGTGCGGGGTCAAGAAGAGTTTAAGTCTCATAATCAAGATACCCAGGGCTGCATATGCTATCAGCTGCAGTGCATGATAAACCAGCTGAGAGAGAGACAGAGAGAGTATTCTTTACTCCTATTGGTGAAGTTTCAGACAATACTAGTTAAACACAAATGTACAGAAAAGGGCACTTTTCTCTGAGCAACAAAAATTACCACTGCCTGACATTTCGCCTAAAAAATCATTACCAATTCACTCGCGTTTCATAGATGGCTACAATTATAAAGTCAATAAGGCAAGTTTTTTCTGTATTTCTGCTGTGGGTGAAGTCTGTGGTTTAAAAATCTTGTATTTCTGTGTCTGCCTATGTATCACTGTTTAAATTAGGAAGGTGGCAAACAGAAGTTACTTGTTGCTTCAAGGCCTTGGAATGCCCCCTTCAAACTGCCATTAAAACCCAAGTGGATCAGCAGGGTTTGAGAGCAAAATCAGTTGCATCTCCAAAGGCCAAGGGCAAAGAGAGCCAGAGGAAAGGTCTTCATCACGGAAGGAACTCCATGTATGCAGATATATGAGCTCCAGAAATAAACTGCTATTATTGTAGGCACTGCCAAAGCAGAGTAAATGCATTTATTTCCTACTTAACTGGTTTAATCAATGAATGGTCAAGGAATCTGTACATAGCATTCTCAAAAAGATACTAAAAATATCTTGAAGGCAATGAGCTAACAATCGCCAATAAACTTAGAGGACTTCTGGTGTGGTGCTGTAGGATCAGCACTGGACTGTGAATCACAAGGTCAGTGGTTCAAACCCACTAGCTGCTCCTCGGAAACCCTACACAGGATTGCTACGAGTCAAAATCAACTCGACGGCAGTTAACAACAACAATAATAAACTTAAAAGGTAGAACTAAAAAAGCAAAGTCCAAATACATTAAGATTTAAAATCAGTAAAAGGTCAGTATGTTCAATCTTTACCTCTCCATGATCAAGCTGGTGTTTTCTGAAATGAGGGGGGGAAAAAAGAAAAGCAAACTATGACTGAATCATTATCCAAGAATTTAGTTCATTTAGCTACATTTGTGTCTTAGAAATAGCTGTTTGACAACTTTGTTCCCTCAGGACACATATATGCAAATCACAATAAGCAAAGCCAGAGACCAAAATTGGTATTATAATCATTTCTAACAGTCTATATTTAAATGACAATGTTGTATTATACCCTGAATATTCGCCTATGTGGGTATTTATGAGGCCAACAAAATCACAGTGCCTATTATGGGTGGTAGGGGCTCAAGAGGACTTCTGAGAGCCCTCAGTTCACAGTGGATGCCCTCTGCTCTCCTATGCTGGTAACTGCAACAGGGACCATTGAGGGCTGGGGAAAGCCACATGTAAATTTCAGCATCAGCTCTGCAATATACAAATAATCACTACATTCCATCTTTTGTTTTGTTTGCTGGCTTTACTTTGTAGGAAATGTTATTCTCCCATATCACACTCTTTCCCTTACAGGCCACTCTCATCAGTGAGGGTGACCTAGAAAATGACAGTCAGCTCACATCACCCCCTTACTTAAAATCCACTCCAGTGGGTTCCCTTTGCAATGAGAATAAACTCTAAACTCCTCACCATGACATGCACGGCGTTCCTAAGCTGGTCCCCACTTCCCTTCTTTCCTGACCACTATGTTCTTGTCACACCCGACTAATTCTGTTCCTCACTGTATCAGTTTGTCTTCTCTCTACTCCATTTTCCTTTTTAATTTTCTTATAGAAAACAAAATTCTCACTGATTGGTTTAACTGACTAGCATGTTTCTCCTACTAAAATGAACCCTTTAGTACTAAAGGATTCAAATCCATCCCTCGTCAGAGCACCTGAAAGCCCTGGAAATCCATCAGTAATCAAAGTGGGGGAAAGTCTCCACCCTCACAAATGCTAATGGAGGAAGACACATAGGCAGTCACAGTCACAGTGTGACAATGGGGACAAGTACTGTGGAGACACATGAAGCTGGTAAGAGACACAGGCAGTGCTGGGAAAGGCAGTCACACCAATGTGGTTCCCGAGATTGAGTGATACTTGAGCAAAGCCTGAAGGAGCTGAGAAGGAGCCCTGAGGAATCCTCCAGGAAGAGCATTTTAGGCTGAGGGAACAGAGGATGCAAAAAGGTGCACTAGCCACAAGGGCAAAGTGATTAGAGAGGAGAGGCAGAGAACCAGAGGTGGCAAGGGGCCAGACCTCTGCAGGCCCCTGGAAGTCATCATATGGACTTTGTTTGACTTTACTCTGAGTGATTTGGAAACCAGTATCAACAGAAGAGTGACATGATCTGACTTCTGTTTCCAATGGATCACGTTACTGTTATGTCGAGGAAAGACTTGGGGAGGGAGGCAGGGAGCTCTGTAAGGAAGTTTCTACATGAAACCAGGAGAGATGGTGGGCTAAGGATGAAGGTGGAGGGGGAAAGTGCCAGACAAATTATGGATCTATTTCTGAATGTTGAAGAATGTGTCAGGAGACTGGCTGGAGGGTGTGAGAGAAGGAGGCGAGTCAAGAATGATGCCAAGATTTCTGAGCTGAGCAAACAGGAAAATGGAGTTACTGTCAGAGACTGAGAAGAGGCAGGAGATGCATGCTGGCGGAAGGGACACAATTTTGTAAAATCTGAGATGCGCATCAGACATTTGAGATGACAAATAGATAAGTATGTAAATTTGAAGGTCACATGAGAGGTCTGGGCTGAACAGAAATATGTGAGTTGATAATATATCTTCCTCCCTGTCTGAAATCCGCTGCCCGCAAGTCAATTCTAACTCAGAGAAACCCTAAAAGACAGAGGACTGCCCCACAGTGTTTACATGGCTGTGGTCTCTGCAAATGCAGACTGCCACATCCTTTCCCCACTGAACGGATGGTGAGTTCAAACTGTCAACCCACTATACTGTCAGGGCGCCTTACTTTTTTCCTGCATTCTCTGGAATCATTGATTGAGTCAATGAACACTTAACTCAGGAGCACACATATAATTTGAGAATTTGGCTTCAAAATTACATGAACAACTGATTGTGAGGGATGGAAATGTAAAGGTAGATATTTTGTAGCAAGGAGGGGAATGATTGACTTTGCAGTCTAGGAGAAGAGGTCCCTGGAACCATCAAGGGAAAAGAGCAGAGAGTGGGACCCTACCCAGAGAAGCAGTGATGCCAGAGATGGAGGCAGAGATGATGATGTGGAGAGATGGAGCAGCTGGGGACTTTAGATCCAG